ATCTGTTTTTTTCCTAACACACACATCTCACAAACAATCATCCTTTCTGATTATAGAGCAAACTAATTATTGAAAATTACTCACTGTAAAATATTAGTAGCTTAAGGTAAAGAAGTTTTATATTATTTTACCTTTATCATTAATATTTGTTTCCTATCAATAATTTCTGAATGTATTAAAATGTCTGCAACCCTAAGCTGTGTATAGGTAAATGTGATCTAGAAATAGTTTCCTCTCTTTTTAGGCATAATTATCTAAGACAAACAAGTTAAAGACAAATAACTATATTGTTACTGGCCCCAAATTGTATTTCTGTATTCCTAACTGATATTTCAGTGTTGTTTTTAAATATCACAAGAATTATAACTATTAAGGGTATTAGAGGCCATTAGACATTAACAGAGCAAGGACCATGGGCCAGGTGCAGAAAGTTAGCTGGGCAAAAAGCCCTGGGTGACTAGCTAGGGGGAAAACAAGAATCTCACTCCCAGGGTAACCTTTCCATTCCTTAGCATATCGCTGACTTTTTTCCTCCCTGAAGTTAACATCTAGGCCTCAGTTGTATTTCAGCTCCAGGCCCAGAAAAACAGCAAAGCCAGACAAGTGACACCATAGCTGCCTCAGGACCAGCTGCATTGATTAAAGACACCCCCCACCCCCACCCCTGTTGTGGCACTGAACAATCAGTAGAGAACAAAACCCTAAAAGAGAACACCTGGAAAGCTAATGAATATTCTATTGAGACCCTCCCCTGAGACTCCCCAAGATTCTCATCTGCAAGAGATAAATGCCCTCAATACAAAGGACACAGTATGTGCTCTCCCTTAGGGGAGCATGCCCATAGCATTCCCTTCCCCCCTTCTTTCCTATAAAGGACCCTACAAAACTTGCAACCAGGGGAGCAGTAGGCAACTGCAGCTCATCCCAGGCTAACCCCCTGAACCTGTCTCCAAGGCCCCCTTTTCTCTGACTTCTCAGTAAGCCAAAGCAGCCCAACCTAGGCTATCTTTTTGCTTCTTCTATGCCCTTCCTTGTTTCACTAAATGTGTTTTTGCTGTGGTCAATAAATTCTTGCTTGCTTTGCTGCACTTTGACTCTTGATTTAAATCTTTCCTTCAAGAAGGCAAGAATCAAGGTCTCATTATCTTGCTGGTAACATATTTGGTGCGATGACTCGGACTGTACTTACTGTGACTGGTAAGCCACTCATCCTGGCCACCTTGCTTGAAGGGCATGACTAACTGTTCTCTTTCCTCCCTGCATCCTCTGCCATGTGGTTCTCTCTCTCTATAGATTGCCGCACTGTGTGGGCACCAGACAGGCATTTAACAGATGTTAGGGTGTCCAGCCGGAGTGGTGCAGTGGTTGAGCATTGACCCATGCACCAAGAGGTTGCTGGTTCAATTCCCGATTGGGACACATGCCCAGGTTGTGGGCCAGATCCCCAGTGGGGGGCATGCAGGAGGTTGCCAATCGATGTTCTCTTTCATCAATGTTTCTTTCTCTCTCCCTCTCTCTAAAAATCAGTAAAGAAAATAAATACATAAATAAAAAATAAAAGACATTAGGGTGCTCGCTGCTAGAAGACTCCAGTGACAGGTAATGGACAGGGGAAGTTTGCACTAGGCATCCCGCTCACTGCAAGACAATGTCCATATAGGCAGGAACACTAAAATCACACAAAACCCTTCCCTGTGGCTTTTCTCTGTGAGGTTACTAGTTCCAATGGAGAGACAGAGATCCTTGCCCTTAGACTAGAAGGATGACTAGACGGATGCTCTGTTCTTTCCTTTTTGTTCCTTCCTGTGTGTCTGGAATTAAATTCAGGCTGACTTACTCTGAGCTGTGTTTGTAATCCTTAAGGTGGAGCTAAAGATTAAGGGTTGAAAAGAACCAAGGTTATAAATAAATATCAACATAACTATGGACAGGGAAAAAAAAAAGGATGGCTGGTTTTTAACTTTGGCTTTTCAATTGCAATAACTCTTTGAATATATTTAAAAAACCCTTTTACCACATAATTGACAGCCTGAGCTGAAGTCCTGTATGTCCAAGCCTATATGGCCTTAAGGGACAACCCAGACCTTGGTAAGACTTGGCAGCTAGACCTGTTTTGCTGGTACCAGAGAAATGGACAGAGGTCCCACATGCCCAAGTCTTTATGGCTCTCAGGAATGACCCTAAGCTATGCATTACCTGTAAACTATCTCTCTATATATATGCTACAGAGCCTAAAAGGAAAATATACCCAGATGGAAAAAGAATTATTTTTGGGTGGCCTAATGTTGCTTTCATGTTTATTTAATTTTTCAAAGGCTTAAAAGTTCTATGGACTTTTGTGTATATAATCATACCATATGTGTGTGGAGGAAATGGTGTATAATCATACCATATATATAATACAAAGCTAAGTGAATCTACTACAGATCAATAATTTACAATGAGGTAAGTCAGCTGTTTTCAAAAATAAAGAAGACATATTTATGTGTATTTTTAAATCATAAAACAAAACAAAACAAATATAATCTTATCCAGTTAGTTGCTATAAGCATATATTAATATAAGAAAATAAGAGCACCTCTAAGTTTTTCACATAACTGAAAAACTTCATTTAAGAATAAAGAATTCAGTTTCTGATATAATGAAACATACAAGGTCATGGGAAGATACAGACTCTTGTTAACTAACAGTACCCAAAGAAGTGAATGGGGGAATAAACCAGTATTAGAACTGTAGAAATTCATGACTTCTAATTTATATGGAGATGAAAAAGGTAAAATATGAAGCTTACTGTATCAAAATTAAAAATAATTTAACAGGATTGTGATGATTTCATGAATATATTTTAAATTTAGTATAAAGCTTTTTGTTCATTTGGTAGTTACATACAAAAACACTTGGTATTTATGTAGTAATTAAAAAAAATTTATCCTTTGTAAGTTAACCCTTATATATCACTTACTAAAATATCAGCAAAGTTCTCATTGAATTCTCACAGTCACTCTGATGGATAGGTACTTTTATTTCCTTAATTTTATAGGAAACTGAGGCACAGAGCAATTTAATGACTAGTCTATAGTCATGTTAGTAAGTAGCAGAGCCAGAATACAAAGGTTTGAATTTTCAGCCTAGCATTTCGGTATTGACTTAAAGCTCCACAGAATACAAAATACTAAAGTTTGTGATGTAAATTATTTCCCCACAATTAAAAATAATGTTATCTGGTTATAAATAAATTCATGGTAATTTTAAAAATACTTTTCTGATATAAAAATAAGTAATATTATGAAAATATCAAACCATCACACAAAAAATAGAGCTACATCCACCTAATTTCATTTACTTCAAACACTTAACACCTAACTCCAAAAATCAATGTCTTCACATAGGTAGGCAATTTCTTATACAAAACACAAACAAATCTCTCTCTATAGGAGATGGCTTCCCTCAACTGTACTTTTAAAGTTAGTCTCACAGCTTAAAAGAAATGTAAAAACAGGTCAAAGGACCATTTCCCCTTAGGACCCAGAGACTAAATAAGTAAGGATGACTTCTTTTTTAAGCAGTTGAAGTTAACAATTTCCCAATAAAACATTATTCTGATCGATTTAAAGCAAAACTATTTTATTTATAAGCCTACTTATAATAGCATCCAAAAAAACTCTCTCATGATATTTACACAGAATAGAAAATATTTTACAAATTGATTAAAAATGTATGTTTTCATATACTAGAATAGTGGTTCTCAAAGCTTGGAAGTATGGTCTATGGGCCAGTAACATCAGTATCACCTGGGCTTTGTTAAAAATACAAAATCTCTTGTCTGGCCAGCATGGCTCAGTGGTTGAGCATTGACCCATGCACCAAGAAGTTGCCAGTTTGATTCCCTGTCAGGGCACATGCCCAGGTTGTGGGCCCGATCCCCAGTGGGACGCATGCAAGAGGCAGCCAAAAGATGTTCTCTCTCATCGATGTTTCTATCTCTCTCTCCCTCTTACTTACTTTCTCTCTAAAATCAACAAAGGAAAAACAAAAAACAAAATCTCAGTACCCATTGCAGATTTTACTGAATCAGAAACTCCGTGGGCAGGGCCTAGCAATCTGTTTTAACAAGACTTCTGTTTGTGGTGCAGGCTAAAGTTTGAAAAGAAGGACAGTAATTATTTAATAGGTGCAGAACAAAAGTATCTTTCTGTTAATAAAATAGTGAATACAACAGTGTACTGATTTGAAACTAAAAGTACATAGTTAACATTAACTTGAAATTTAGCAAACAAACACTTTTTTGGGAGGTAAAAGAAACAATGTCACAAGTGGTAATATATGCATGTGACTCTGGAAGTAAAACCGGTTTATGACTTCCTTATAAACAAAGACTTTTCCCCCTGTATCAGTGAGCATTGCCTATTTTATATTCTTTCCCTAATTTTTCCCACTATGCAAAGGTTGAGGTGATTTTTGTGGCATAAAGCCTAGATATTATTTCAGCTTTTTGATTTTTTAAATTTACATTTAAAATTATGGCATATACAATTCTTTCTCATTAAAAAAACCTGTAAAATTGGTATAAATTCTACTGCAACCATTCTATTGTGCTTTGAGACCAGTGACAAGAGTATCTCAAGAAAGAGAAATCAGACCCAGTTTAAATTATATTAAGAAAGCACATCAGACCAGATGCCATGCTGAGTCAGAGTTCTATTATCACCTCCTTTGGCAGTATGCCTGATGTTCAGCTGATACCATAGATCATTATTGACAAATGTAGGATTACCTTCTGGATCAGCTCAATCTTCCTTATATTATATCATTTCTAGTTTAAATAAAAAAAAAAATAAAAAAAGTTAAACATTATTTTAAGATACTTTCTCCACAGCAAATTTTTCTTCTTTAGCACAAGTCACTTGTTCTGTCAGCAGAATTACAAAAATAAAATTAAAAATATTTAAAATAACATGAATAGTATACTCCTTGAATATGAGAAAAACATAGTTTCTCACCTCTGGAGTGACATCTCGTGGTGCAAACCCTGTTCCTCCAGTTGTTAATATCAAATTAAGTTCCTTTTCATCACACCAGTCTATCAGAGTCTCCTGAAAGAAAACAACAATAATGTCACATGCAGAATGATGTGCCTGTCTGTTCAAAACATCCACTTACTCAAATACATTATGTATCGTGTGGAAAATCATATTCTTTTCAACAACCAACATAACAATTTTGAAGCACAATTCATGAAACAATTTCACTGTTGATCAAAACACACTGCAGTTTTGGGCAATTTATTTTATAGAATATGAGGATGCAAGCATCAAATTCCTGAAAGTAAATGAAACACATTTACTGTCAATGAAATACTATAAAAAGTTTATAATGTTTGTTATGTACTCACATGGCATATCTGTTCTTTTCAGCCATTCAAAATATATTCAAGTTAAAAAAAATTGAGCACTATATGTCAATTATATGATCTCATTACTAAAAATCACACCAACACTGCCAGGTAAATACATATTCATACTTCTATTTAAAGAAACAGACTCATTCATTTTTTTCATTAATGGATTCTGAGAGATCAAGAAGCTTATTTGATCATGGGCTCACAAACTAGTAGGAGGAAGAGCTAGGATTCAAATTAGATCTGTGGGATTCTCAACATATGTTCCCCTATATTCTGCCTTTGATTATGTCAATATTTTCTGCTAAGTTTCAAGTTGTTTAGAGAAGTTTTCTCATTTTTTTCAGGAATTATTTTACATAATTGCCTTCAAAGAAAAGTATAAGAATAAATGATTGCTTAAAGGTCTTTTCCCCCACAATACTATGACACTTATAGAGCCTGGAATTACAGAATTACATACCATAAAATTTTGTTGTTAGTAGAAACCTCAGAAGACTTGCCTCTTTATTTTCCAGATAAGACAATTGAAGTACAAAGTGGTTAAATAATTGACTCAAAGTTATCCAGCTAATTTGTAAAGAAGTGAAACTAGTATCTCTTGTCAGCTTACACTATTGGTAATTCTATTTATCCATTCTACATTTTAACTATTTATTAAAAAGAACTAGTAAGTACACCTTAAATTGTTTCACCATCTCTATAATTTAGGTCCAAAATTTAATGATACAATTATATTATTTAATTACTGATAACTATATAAACTATAAGAGCAGGCTAATACCTAGATGTAAAATACAATATTCTCAGTTTTCCAATTCATCAGTGACACAAAATGCAGGATAATTAGTTAGAAGGAAATTTGGGATCTAAAAATGACTTTTTTCCTATCTTTGAACATTTTTATTTCATCCTAGTATCACAGGAATGGAGAACCCAAAGCTCCTAATGAAGGGGATTTCACCCCTGCTATGATTTATTAATGGCAACAAACTATTTTTAAAACATTAAATTATAGACTACTGAGAGCCCAACTGAAGAACTTTCACCCCTGATAGATTTATAATTTTGTTCTGAGGAAAGCTCACAAACAAAATCAATGGGTATTATAATAGTTATTTTGAGGTGGTTCACAAACCAAACTTAAAATTTCCATTGACTTGTGCTTCTATTTCTAAAGTAGAAAAGCGTAAATACTCATCATTCTAAGTAGTTATTACTTCTAGTCTACAAAAACAAGCTGATGTTACAACTCAGCAATGAGATTAACTGACCTTGTTCTCCCCACTAATAGATCCTAGAACACTTTAGATTTATTTTTAACATTCCTAAGTCCCCCTTTACGATACTGGTGTACATGTGCCACAGCTTTCTCATCTCTGACCACATTCCAGATCTTGATAAAAAATATGATACTGAAGTTGTATCAAGAAATTATCTCAAGCACACAAACACAAAAAAACTTGTATTAAATGCCAATTTTCATTATTGTCAATACCAAGAGAGTATTCAAACTTTTCTAAATTCAAAATACTAATAAGAGTTAAAACAGTCCCATTATACTGAAGGGTTCTACTGTTTGGCAAAAGGTAATACTCCCCCATAACATGATTTATCCAGTTATTAAGTAAACATTTACTAAGTACCTATACCAAGAAATAAATGAAAGACTGACCCTGGTTTAAAAGAGCTCATTGTCGCCCTGGCCGGTTTGGCTCAGCGGTTAGAGCGTCGGCCTGCGGTCCGGAGAGACCCGGGTTCGGTTCCCGCTAAGGGCACGTACTTCGGTTGCAGTTTGTCCCCGGCCCTGGTTGGTTGTGCGGGTGGCAGCCACTCGATGTGTCCCTTTCACATCGATGTTTCTCTCTCTCTCTCTCTCTCTTCCTCTCTCTCCCTCCCACTCTATCTGTACAAAAAATGGAGAAATGTCCTCGGGTGAGGATTAAAAAAAAAAAAAAAAAAAAAAAAAAAATAAAAGAGCTCATTGTCAAGTAGTGGTTCTCAACTTTGATTATACACTGAAATTATCTGGGGAGCTTGAAAAACTACTGATACTTGGGTCCCAACTCTGGGGCAAAACCTGGACAATAGAATTTTTATTTTATTTATTTATTTATTTTTCTGGTACGTGCCCTTAGCGGAAACCAAACCCAGGACTCTCTGGTCTGTAGGCTGACGCTCCAACCGCTGAGCCAAACCGACCAGGGCGACAACGGGATTTTTAAAAGCTTCCCAGGTAATTTTTAAAATACAGCCAAGCAATTGAGAATTACGAAGGAGACAATTTGTTCAGTTACCTGAAACTAAATTTCAGTTTATTCAGCTGGTTGTCATACAGCTTAAGTTTATTCCATAGAAATATACTTGTTTTTCTATTCCCAGGATATCTAATTGGTAACACCTACTATAAAGACTTATTTCATTTACATAATATTGGATACTGTTGTCTGGATACTGTTTTTCTTAATCCCTTCACTTTTTTACCCAGTCCTGCAAACCCCCTCCCCAAAAGGGTAATCGGGGGACAAATGGTGATGGAGGGAGACTTGACTTGGGGTGGTGAATATACAATATTCAGATGATGTATTATAGAATTATAGACTTGAAACCTATATAATTGTATTAAGCAATGTCACTCCAATAAATTCATTAAAATAAATAAATAAATATATAAAAGTTGATATCTTGAGCTCAATTAAGGATTGTTCAAGTAGCCATATAATTATTTAACAAGAAAATATTTCTGGGTATACTTTCATTCAGGTACTTCAAAAAATAACAGGAAACAAAGATGGAAAAGGCACAATCCTTTGTCTCAAGTCAAGTAGAGGAGCTCTGAGTCTACAGTTGTCCAGACCCTTGTTACTAAAATTATTATCTGAAGACCAGTAGCATTTATGTAACATGGGAGCTTGTTAGAAATATAGAATCTCAGGTCTCATCCAAAACCTACTCAATATGCACATTAAACTGGACTAAATATGTTTTCTATGTAACACTAAGATAATGAGTATTTTTCTACAGCATTACACAACCTGAAAGTAATTTATCATTTTTTTTTTTTTGCTTCTGCACCTGTAAGATTCCTTTCATTCTGAGATATACCTTAATATTTGGCTGTCTCTACCAGATAGTATGTCATTGAGATTTCTACATGAGCCACCTTTATGAAAAATTGCTCTGCATCTATTGCAAAACTGAAGGTGCAGGCATTATCTACTTTAATGATTAATTTTCCTTTATGTTGAAGGTATTTCTTTAAAATGTACTGCCTTGAGCTTCCAGGTTAGCATAGTAGCATGAAATTATAGTCACAGAATTTCCCTCTCTCATCATCTAACTAAAATGAACAAAATATACTATAAACTAGAGGAAAACACCTCCACCAGCAATAATCAAATAAGATCCATGTCATAAATCTCAAAAAGTGGATGGTTGGGGACAGAAATGAAGGATCTTTGAGAAGCATAGTACAGCACAGTGAGGCTCCTAATGCTGCTTTGGCTCCCCAAGAAGCCATATGGTAAATTATCAAAATCCTAAAAATTGTCCCTAATACCTTCAAACCAAGAGAGATGGTACACTAAGAGACTTACTTTTTTCATCTTGTAAGCAACTGCTGTGTGAAACAAAACAAGGGGCTGACTCTCTATGATCAAGATGAAGGTTCCAGAAACAAATGCACACTGAATTGGGGAACTAATCTGAAACCTAATGATACTCCTACATAATAATGGGTTAAACTCTTATCTAGAAAGATTGTAGTATTGGACATTTAATAAAATCTCTGAGAGAAAAGCAGAACATTCCAACAAAGATATATTGTCTCTGGTTTCTTAATTTCTCCATTTTTTTAATCTTTATTGATTTTAGAGAGAGAGGAAGAAAGAGAGAGAAATGAGACAATATCGATTGGCCGTTTCTTACATGGCCCCCACTGGGGAGTTGGCCCACAACCTGGGCATATGCCCTGACTGGGAATTAAACTGGCGATCTCTTGATACATGGGTCGATGCTCAACCACTGAGCCACACTGGCCGGGCATCTTACTCTCTCCATTTTGCTTTCTGCAAGTCTGTCCATACGTGATATAGTCCGGGCTGACTTTATCTTTTTCCAACATCTAGGTAATGGTTTGTGAAATAAACTCAGTTTGAGGACTGAATACTTACTGTTCAATCAGGTTTTCAGTAGTTTTAAATAATCATACATTAAACAAAATTTGAAGGTAAGCAGAAGGTAGGTAGAAGAAACTATAACACTCTCATATTTTTATCTTTCATAGCAGTGATTCAACCAATCCTAAGTTTTGAAAAGGTAGTTAAATATGACTCTAACCTATTATTTTCCTATTTTTCTTTTAATTTTAGAGAGATCTGTTTAGCACATAATATCTCTTGTACTATGCTATTTTATTCCCTTTCTTTTTCTTCTTTTAAATGAAATAAAATGCTATCCGGAATTAGCTTTAGGGAATTATCCTAATTTTGCATAGCTATGTCTTTCACTCAAGCATCCATCCAGTTTTCTATCTATAATACAGGCATAAAAAGATGTTGGTATGTTTTACAAATAATATTAATAATGGTTATTCCTGGGTAATTTGCATATATTAAAAATAAAAGAATTTTTAAAAATTAAATTTTCTGGTATTTGTTCATTCTGATATTTAGTACTTCACATCTCCTTTTCCCT